GTATTAATGATGGATTTGTTTATTACAAACATGCAGCTTTTCACTTTACAAGATGTTAATTGGTGGACTGGAGTCTTGTGGATTACTTGTTGATTATTGTGATGTTTTTATCAGCAGTTTGGACTCTGATGGCACCCATTCACTGCAGAGGATCCACTGGTGAGCAAGTGATGTTATGCTATATTCTCCCAAATCTGTTCAGATGAAGAATACTGATCTACATCTTGGATGGGCTGAGGGTAAGTACATTTTAAGCAGATTTTCATTCTTGGGTGAACTGCAATTCAGAGAAAGAATTGCAACATATCTGTGAATCAATTTTACCCCAAACCTGCACTAAACAAGCAAATTAAACCAAACAATTGTAATTCCACCCAAAGGATGGGCAGCACCATGCTGCACATAGAAAACAGTTTGAGCATTTTGATTCCAGATTAATTCAGCAGACAGACTCTTGTAAGCTTAATAAATTCAGAGCAAGAGGATTAATCAGGAAGGTTCAGAGTCAGGACAAGCCTGCCCGGTCACAAACAGTCACTGACATTCAGAGGGACGGCTGGGGTAGCCAAACCACACCCCACAGATTTGAGCCAAGATACAGACAGATGAGCAAGGTTTAGGTTTGCTGCAAAATTCAGACTCTAAAAGGTTGCTTTCTCTTTATGCATTATACGCATCCTGCGCAGGAGGCCTCAGTCTTTTCAGCCTTTTTCAGTCCTTTTTCCTGTGGGGAAAAGGGGGTTGACAGGAACAGATTGAAAAGCACTGAGGAGTGTCATATTACCATTTTGTTGTTGCTGAGTTAGCTGACTTTGGGTCTGGCTCTGTGTGGGCTGAGAGGGCTGTTGTACTGGTGGAGGGGGTGCTGATTCTGGCTGTTGCTGCTGGGCTGGTCGTCCCCGAGTCGAGCCAACTTTAAAACAGAACACATAAGAGTGGCATCACAGGAGCACTCAAACATGCCTATGATGGACAAAAATGCAGCTCACCAAGTTTTCAAACACAGCCATCTTAGTATGCTGACATAACTATAAGTCATGTGTAGTAAAACAGGCACTATATGTAAAACACTCTGGCACTTTTAAAACATCACTCTATTTGTTTGAGCATGCCGACTCAGGAATTTTGTGACTATTTTGGCTATGATTAAAATTTCTGTCAAGGTCACAACAGATCTTTTCTTCCATATTGTAACTTACACCCAAGTAAAATGGATTATAGGGGGAAAAAAGAGTGGAGGACTTGGTTCAATCCATCAGTTGTTGACTTCACAGAAGCAGATCTGAATGCAATACTTCAATCAATTGCAAGAAAGCGGCCTAAATGACTGAAGAAGTCCGGCATATGTTATCAGAGAGAGAATATTTTGCACTGGAAGACTGAGTTTGACTAAAGACTGACATTTTTGTTAAAAATTACTAAGTCAATAAAAATTAAATGTGTGCATAAATGTATCGTTCACAATAAGATCAATAAAAAGCATTTAGAAAATAGATGAAGAGGTGGATGGGGGAATTTCCATTTCATGTTGACTTTAACATCTGTTATTCTTTAGGAACCGAACAAAATAATCCTAAGTTATTACTAATTGTATTGAAAATTAGAATTTTGCTGTACAATAGCCATACATCTGTCGTAATCTTTAATTTGTCTTAATTTTAACAGACTTTTAGTTAGTGTACTTTTTTTATATGCACTTTCTTCCAGTTCTGCTGAACTTGCCCCCTTTGTCTACAAAACCCTGTTGTTATTATTTATATGTATCATTTAACACCATATCAACATCAAAGGCTAAATTCATGGCAAACTCAAAGAGTAATAAATTAATAATAGTGATAATAAAAATAATACTTCTATTAGTTATATAAAATAATGTTACAAAATTACAAAAGCAAACCAACAATAACAACAATAAAAGTTACATAAAATCTTAGAAAAAAATTCTAATATTTTCCAAGGAGAAGCTTTTTTAATGTCCATGATTGTAATTTCTGTATAACAACATTGCCTAATTATTATTTAAAGTATTTCAAATAAAATATGCTTTACAGTAAAGGAAGACTTCACATTAAGCCATTTAGTTTTATTACAGTACATTAGATTTGCATAGTAACATTTAGCACTAAAAATGTTTAGAACTGGGCAAACGAGGAAAAAAGTTGTTCCCAGTGCATGTTATAACAAATTCAGAGTACCCTGTCAAAATGAAGCACTTGTGGAGTGTGCTCCACTCCACTGAAAACTAAATCACGAGCCTGACACGTACATGTGCCGCCCCTTCATTCTGAAGCACCCAGCACGTGCACGCTACATTTTTTTTCACTTTTGCAGATTAATAATTGCACATGGCCATACTGCAATTCATAACTTATTTTGATTTATTGTGCAGCCCTATTCCTGAGTCAAATAACAACAAATATACCTCTGTTGTCTCTGGATGGGATTTCACTCCTTCCCGGTGCAATAGTTCTACGATTCTGCACACAAACAAGTGTACAAAAAGGTTCAAAAGTTGCAAACAATTAGAATGCAAGTTCAACATTTAACTTTGGCCTCATACAAACCTTAGGGATTTTGTTGACCTTCATAGAGCTGGGTGTAGGAGGCGGTGGTGTAACAGGGCTCAAGGAAATCTCCTCCTCTGTACCAACATCTGGATTTAGTGAGAATATGCACTCCAAATCAATCTGTTACGAAAAAATGAACAAGCTGTTAACATTGCAAGAAATCTGATCTTTTTTCCAACACATGCAGGATATCCTAAAGAGAAAAATGATACAGGGTACATGACAACATAATTCATATTTGTAAGAAACACAGCATGTGTCCACGTAATATCCAAGAGTTTCATACTGTACCCTAACAACACCAGAATGTTGTTCTTTCCATTATTAATAACACAGGCAGCTGAGAGGCTGCTATACTTACCTCTTTTCCTTTAGTGTCTCCATTTTCTATCCATTCCACAGTAACACTTTCATTATCTTCATTTAAAGAGGTCACCATGGCCTGGTGTATTCGCCCTGTAAGAAACCCAACATGTGTGAAAGACAAATTGAAAACATTCATGTATCCATTTTGAAATTTTACACATCTAATTGGAACTTGAAAAGAGTTTATGTACAAGACGGCAAGTCAACAGCAATCTGCTTCTGAGGACACTTCAAAAGTTGTGCTAATAGCTACTGAAAAGTAGCCTATCAGAGCATCACTGAAAACAAACAGCCACGGTTCCGTATCTATTATTCAGAGCTATTCCTACTCACACGTCGACATCCCTGCAATTATTCAACAGCGGCATCAGAAAGAAAAAGCACATATTATACTGCCATAAAACAAGCTATTAAACCCCTGCATGCAACATCAGGCCAAAAGAAAAGTTAAGACCCAGTTTGAAGTAAAATCACGTCTTTATGACGTTAGAGATCTTCTTTGTTTTAAGACGTCACAAGCGCTGTTCATCTTCAGAGAGCATGTCAAGAGTCATCTCCGTTACGCAATACATGAAACTTCCCAAAGAGACAGGAGTGGTTTGTCTAACACGTCAACTCACTTGTTTCTTTGCTACAAGCTGAAGTTAAATATAACACAGCCTTCTCAAAAAGATAAAATCATAACCTCTTCTGACAGTCTTGCAAATTGTATTGATGCCAACACCAATGAAAAGCCACTGAATGCTCACGAGACACCAACACTAGATATACTAACTCTGTACTGAGACATCATTAGGAGAAATTGATACTTTGATCCTTAAACACATTCAAAAACCAGTGTTTTTATTTCAGTTTCAGTTTGAATTCTGCTTGTGATGAACTAAATTACAATTAATCTACAAATATTTAAAACATAATATTCAGTGAATGCTGTACTATTAAAAATAATAATTAAAAAAACAATAATGATGATTGATTAGTACAAGTAATATTAGTAGAATTATTACTGGTGTTATTCAAAGTTTTTGTGGTTGTTAGTTTTCTAAATGGAAAGTTGTTTTCATCTTTGTATTGAATCAATTAGCCTATAAACCTTCCTAACCTAAAAAAAAATGTTTGTTACTTACAAATGTAAGTAGTTATCCAAACATGTTACATCACATGTGAAAGCCATTGTTTGGTTCTATTTTTGAGAGACTGAAATGTGAATATTGATAATATATTTATACATCTGATAATAATAATGCAACTAATCCCAAGCAGTCAATATCTCCTTTGGCCACTAGGATGGAGTTTAATCTCTGAACCCAAATAATGACACATCACATAACTTATAACTTCAAGCAGCTTACTTGTCATCTTCAAATCAATACAAACCAGTCAAATTATTATGACTACAGAAACTCTCTAACGTCATTATCATCTCAAATGTGTGACTAATGTGAAGTGAGTGGCATCCAAACTTATGTTGGGTTTAAGACTCCAAGCTAAACAAACCAGCTGGTTTGGATGAAACCAGCAACTTCCCTCTGTCCACACTTATTTACAACCAATCCAAAACAAAACATTCATTTGCAAGTGACTTAAAATGGCTAAGTTAACCCACACAAATCCAGAATCTATAGTACTTACATGATTAAGTTATATTCCCTAGACCAATACAGTATATAAATAATTCCCCACTAATCTACATCAAGTAAGCCAGTTACTGGGCTGAAATCAAATATCATCGCACACATTATGAATATCTAAACAAACTCCACCCGGGTTTAGCAGGTGGCTAACGTAAAACCGACAGTTGCACTGTTGACTGACACAAGCTCGTTAACTACCCCGGCAACCAGCACCAACAGACCAAACTTGACGCCATATATCGATTAATACTAGGCCCGACCACCTAAAACTATAATTTCTGTCAGGTGCTTTGAGTGGTAACGTTAGCATCCGTTAGCCGAACCGGGGAAACGACTTTAACGGACGGTTACAAGCGACCCAAATATGAACTCACCATCGCTGCGCTTTATCTCCACATAAATCCCCACGACGATTTTGCCGAAGTTCACCGCCATGGCTCATTCATGGGACGAATGGAATACTCAAATAGACGGGCGTGTGGGAACTAGAAACAGTGTTTGTGTTTGAATTTGTCACATTTGTTGTTCCGTGTTACTCAAAACCGGGAGGCGGCCACAGCGCCAGACATAAAAGAGGGGAGAGGGTACAGCGCGCGTGCGCGGGGGAAGCTCGACTTGCGTGTTTTTTTTTCCCACCACAAGCCCCGCCTCCTGCGTCAGGATTGGTTAGAAGCAGCTGGAGGTCTGAGCTCGGACAGTTGAGGTAACCATAGCAACCACAATAAGCGGAGGAAGCCGGGGGCAAAAATTAAAATGTCTTTTTGTTGACAGTAGGCACACTGAACTTAGTTTGGAGAAATATGTCCAATCAGCCAACTGTACCAACATAAAAAACTACCAAATTTGTCTTACATTACTATAAGTTTGATCACAACAGTTGCAGGATGATAAACTATTAATGCAGAAACGTTTTCTGTGAAGCTGCTTTGCAGGGATGTGTATCATGAAAAGCGCTATACAAATAAACGTGACTTGAATTGAATCAGTTGAGCAATAAAACAATATCCCTTATATCAAGGAAGGAAGTAGGCATAATTAATTAGCTGGTCAAAATTATACAGTTGTGTAGCTGTTGCAATTAATGAATCAGTGCTGAATTTAATATTCAGTATTTCATATAAAATCACTTGAACAAAAAGGAGAAAATGCAATGAGCATGCTATTGACAGACGATAGATAGTCTAGATTTCCTCCAGTGAAAATGAAGCGTGCAAAAACAAAAACAGTGGAACTATTCATTTACGAACAAATGAGTACTGAATGAATCAGTCGACTTAAATTTGTGAGTTATTTATGCAGGTATTAAAAAGGTCTTAAATCAGAGCAGAAAGTCTTAATTTGATAAAGTCATGGCATTAAATGTTGCATGCATTGCTTAAAATTAATCTCTTCCTCAGTATTTTTCTCTTGCTTTCCAATATAAATATCTAAACGTCCTTAAATTAAGTTACATTGACTTGAGATTCAAAATGAAGAAATGAAGTTTTGTTTTCTGAGAAATTGAGTTTGTTTAAAACACTGGTACAGTAATAGTTATTTTCATATTCTAGTGTTTGGGAGCAGATGTATTCAAGCTATTTATCATGGAGATCAAGTTTTTCAAGTTTTACAAACTTTTGCTGATGCAACTCATTGTGGGCTCTCTAGACATTTACATTTCCGATTACATTTAAAGAACATATTGACATAAAAAAAGACAATTTAAAATCGACCTTCATACCATTTCATTGTAACATATGGGATTTTAATTAAAGAAACGTCATAATAAATTAGTGGTTGCAGTTTTGTGCCTAATGGATCTCATTAACATCAGCTGATATCTTTTCACAAAGGTGTATGTGTCAGAGATTTCACACCCGTCTGTGAGGGGTGCGCTGGGTTCGTGTCCTCAGATCACAGCTGTCTTTGGAAGTCTAGCACTTTATGCTTTTGGTGAGAGAGCTCATATTTCTCGGGTTGTTTTGGGTGTATGATGAAACACACTTTTGCCAACACTTTCAAGAATTTCCAAGCATTTTTCAGATACATTATCCTATATGTCCTTTAAAATTATGCTATTTTATCTTTTCTCTCCAGGCTTGGTTTTGCCGTGGAGGTGGCTGGCTGTGGCTGGGGAGATCCCTGTCGTTATCATGATAATTTTTCTTTGCTTCATGCCGACCTCCCCACGTTACCACATCATGAAAGGAAACAGAGCAAGAGCAGTTAAATCGCTAGAATGGCTCAGAGGCCCCAATTCTGATTACTTGACCGAGTTCAATAAGATTGAGCGCAGTATCAATTCTCAGGTAAAAGGCACATTGTGGTGGATTACATCATGTTATCAGGGTGGTTTGCCATAAAATTAGAAGGTCATGCAGATATAATTCAATAAGAGAAAATATGATCAATTGTATTTCACTGATTTTTTAAATCAGATTTTGTTGCAAATGAACATAGCATGACTTACAACCTTCAAAGATGTTGGTCGTTTGCTGCCAAGGGGGCTGCCAATTATTGCTTGGAATAAAACAAAAATTTAAATATGCATTATATAAAAATAGAATATTAAATGACTTGCATGTTCTCTCCAACAGGGTGTTCAATGGAGTGATCTTAAAACACCTTTATACTATAAACCCATTCTAATCTCACTTGTCATGAGATTCCTGCAGCAGATGACTGGTATAACCCCAATTCTGGTATATCTGGAGCCCATCTTCCACATGACAGCTATATCACTGGTAGGTCTCAAAGATTCATTCATTCACACTGTGAAATACCTGAAAGCACATTTATCCATCTAAAAAATGTGATGTTTTATTGCCATTCAGGAACCGAAATATGACGCAGCATTAGTGGGAGCTGTAAGATTGATTTCTGTGGCTATTGCAGCCAGTTTGATGGACAAAGCAGGTCGAAAAGCTCTACTGTTCACCTCAGGTTTGTGTAGAATTAACAATAAAAGTATTACATTTGGTAAATGTAATTCCTTGGAAAAAGTACCTAAAACGCAGTCATCTTTTATTCCTTCAGGCTTTTTGATGTATCTAGCCATGCTTTCAATGACCATGTACACTCATAAAACACCGTGCAACCATGGCAATCTTACTGTAACTGAGGGCTTGAAGAGCACTTATGGAGGCTTAACAGGCCCTGCCTTCGATCCAGTAACTCTAATTCCTCTAATAAGCGCTATGGTCATCATATTTGGTGAGTTTTTTTAGTTTCAGGTTTAGTTTGTTCATTAAACAGTGTGACCAGTTCACTTGGACTTACTGTACAGCAGAAGCTTTTTGTGGATCTCATAAATGACAGATAAGGAACCTGTTGATTATTACGACACTTTAGTTAGGGATGATAAAGTCACACATTAACATTTTGAAATGGCTTAAAATTGATTTTTTTTTTTATTAGAGAAACAATCATTTTGGAAACAGGACTGGATTACATCACTTTTAGAAATAGTTCTAGTTTTATTTCCTCATGTAAAATAGCATGCAGCATAACGTCACTGAAATCTCCCATACAGGTTATGCTATGGGTTGGGGTCCTATCACATGGCTGCTAATGTCAGAGATTTTACCTTTGGGTGCACGTGGTGTAGCATCTGGTTTGTGCGTTGGTGTTAGCTGGATCACAGCCTTTGTTCTGACACAACTCTTCATGCATGTGGTGGTGAGCTAAATCTCTTTTTTTTTTACACATATAAATAGGAAAAATACCTATTTTAACTTACCTAATAGCTCACGATCCTTGTTCAAGATCATTAAAAGATAATACAAGCTTCTCTTGATAATACTCATGTTATACATGATTGTTTCTTCTGATCTTTTTCTTTCTGATTGTTTCAATTTCTAGTATTTTTCATTTACATAGTTGTGTGAGCTTTTCATAAGTATAGCTATAAAACACAAACTTGATCTTTTCATATAGGATGCCTATGGACTCTTTGCACCTTTCCTGTTCTTCTGTGTCGTCTCTGTAGTGAATATAATTTTCACTGCTAAATGTGTGCCAGAGACTAAAGGCCGGACTCTGGAGGAGATTGAGAACTTTTTCAGGACTGGCCGAACCTTCACCATTCTTGATTCTTGAAATGTGCATTTTGGACAATACTGTGGCACTATTTAATCTACAGAGCCACAACAAAATAAATTATGTTTTACTCAAGTTGTGATTCTGCTGTCTGAGTTGAATGTGATGAGATAAAATGACTGGGTGGCACCAAATAATACACATTTATATATTGCACTGTCTTTATGTATATTTAGATATATGAGCTACGTAATGACTTTATGACTGTTACTCTGATGTACATACATTAATATGTCAAATCTGTCCAATGTACATTTATTATAAGGTTGTACTGTATATGAGTGCACACTCATGTAAAGCATATCAATAAATGTGTGTATTTATATACTGAATATATAAGGTCTCTATCATTCTCTCAGTTATATGAACATGTGACTGGGCACTTCACTTCTCTTTCATTGTTCCGCAATTGTTTTCATCAGTGTGACCATGACCAAACTAAACCAATATTTCACAAAATGTGTTTGTCCAGGAACAAAAGTACAATGATACGGAGAAGTTCCTAGAATTGAGCAAGACGTCACCAAAATAAATTCTGGCCATTGTCATGTGCTGATACATACATACAAATTTTTGATCATTAATTGTTTATCACTGTACTTAATGTTATAGCTATGCACTAAAATAATGATCTGTTTCTTATTTATATTTACTGTTATTTTTTTCAAACAATTAAATAATTCTCCAACCTCCTTTTCAAGTAATTGCATATGCTTTCTTATCAGTAAGCATATTTTTCAAACAAAACTTTGCAGTTTGAAAGAGAACAATGTTTCGTTTCATTGACAGCTTTGATAAGATTTTTTTTGATTCCTCTTTCTGCTTTCATACTGTATGACGCACAGTGCTTCCTGTCAATCACCACTAAACCAGTGGTATGCACCTGTGTTACATATTTGTGCATGCTGAAAAATGGTCAAAACACCTAGTTGGTATGCAGTGCATTAGACAAATACACATAATTCTTATTTGCCACTTCTCAGCCACTGAACTGATTTCCTTACACCAATGAATTGCAGATTTAGGCATAGCCAATATAATATTATTAATAATATATTATATTAATTTAATTACAATTTAAAAAAAATATATGTTATTAACTATTATTTATTGGGAAATAATAAAAAAGTCAATTTGACCTCAATATCTCATCATGTAACCCAATTCTCAATGGCTCTTATCCAATAGTTAAGTTGCTTGCATGCACAAAAAGCCTTTAAGAAAAAATCATGTGATAAATGTTTGGCTTTAAGCTGATTTATTGGTTTCCATTTAGTGAAGGGTTCCCAAAAATGTTAATATATAACTACGTGCATAAGACTGACATTATAAATGTGCAATATAGGTTAAGGATGTTATTTTCTTACATTACACAGTCTGGAAGACCAAACATTTCATAAATATGTATATTAACAGGGTTATATATATAATTGATTTATTCATGAGTGAATGTTCATGTTTTATTTATAACTAAAACGGTTGTTTCTCCATGCAGTGTGAGGAAATATTTTAATTAATTGTGAAACTTACGTTGTGAATATTAATAAAATACATGTTGATTTCAAATAAATTATGATTGAACAGTCTGACAGTATATTTTAAAAGCACTACACGTTTAAATCCTCATGAGAATCACTATTCAGGTGTCTGCTGATGTCCTGGCTTCACCTGAACGTTTTTATTCCCGTTGATTTTTACGTAACACTCTGTAGAAAGTGGCTGCAGCCAGAAGAACACGAAGTCGCCATCAGCACCGGGTTACTCAAGAGAACTGAGGAACCCCTCCAGTGAGTTTCATAATTAGGTTGTGTAAGGGCACGTTACGTATGAGGGCTTTAGAAGCCAGCGGGCTACAAATGCAGTTCCTTGCCGCACTGAAAACATTGATTTAACCGCCAACTCGGACTGTGAACCAACCATGAAAACGAACAGGGAGAAAGTAATTGGAAGTCAAGTCATTTCAGCCGAACTTGTGGCTGGACTACTACTCAGCATAGCGTATAGGATGTGTTCCAGTTTGGCTTTTTCTTCAGAGGTGGGTCTTTACATGTGTAAAATCATGGGATTATATAATGTTGTTGTTTGTAAATGTTACTAAGCGAAAGGAAAAAAAATAGTTTTGTGTGAAAATGAATGCTAAATGACACACTGTTTCCTTTACGAAAAATACCAGGGTACTACTATAGTATCAGATCAAATACCATGCTATAGCTTTTAAACGGGAAGAAATGAATAGTGAAAGTCGTTAGGGGAAGTTCACAACTTCACATAGCCTACTACTTGGGGTCTGAATGGAACAACGCACGGGTCTCGAGACGCGTTACTTAACACGCGTTGTAAAAACGCGACGCGTTCCGTCTAAATGAGACGGAGCTGCTAAGAAGTTGTTCGTAATGTGTATGTTATATTATAATGTTTCTTTTTTTGTAGTAGTAGCCATAACCGTGGTAATTATTGGGCATCTTGGCGGAAATTATTGTTATTGTGATAATACTTTTGTAACGCGTTATACTCTCTTGTGTTGCAGGGGGGACGCGTCAGTGACGAAAGCGCGCAGTTTGAAGTAACGCGCTCACTCGTATGTGTGTGGGTTGCCAGTAATATTAAGTTCATTTTCTTCAAAAGCAACAACCATCCACTTTCTCTGTCTGCTCATTCCGTCTCCAGGCTTGTTGTAAGTGCAATGCAAATACACACATATGCCTGCAAATATTCTCTTGAAACTTTAGGAGAAATACAGTAGGTGTAATCTAATAGTTCATCCCATTTGTCGGGTGATCTAAAATGTACTACACATGGTAAATAAACTGGTTTTATTCGAATTAAAATATTATTTAATATGGCTCAGTTAATTTCACTATAGGCTAAATTACACCAACAAATGTATTTTTAAAGTTGGGAAGTTACTCCGTGTCCTTACCAACATATTCTGTTACACCAAATACACAAAATAATGATCTTTAAAAAAGCATCATATGACCCCTTTAAATTAATCAAAAGTGATTTCTGAAGGATCATGTGACGCTGAAGAGTAACGGAGTAATGACTGCTGAAAATTCAGCTTTGCATGGCAGGAATAAATTACATTTTAAAATATATTATAACAGTAAACAGTTATTTTAAATGCAATAATATTTCACAATATTACAGTTTTGATCAAATAAATGCAGCCTTCGTGAGCATCAGAGACTTCTTTTGAAAACATTACAAAACTGACCCTCAACTTTTTGAAGTGTACATATTTAAGTGTTGCATTATTGCATCAATTTAATATTTATTGTGACCTTTTATCAACATTTTGAAATATAAATTCAATTAACTGTTTTAAATGTCTTTCTATACAGGCCTTCCTTTCACTGTTGGGAGTCTGCAGAGAGGCGCACGTTCAAGGAACAGACTGCAGACATGTGTGTACTGTAACATGATGTGTGCATTTTATTATATTAAGTCACTTTGGTATAGTAATCATCTAAACATAAATGTAAGATGCAGTGCTCTCTGTTGTAATGCCATAAAACATCAAATGTTTGTTACATGCCAGTTAAATCCATAAATCTTGATTTTTTTCTCTCCAGCTTCCCATGGTGGACGTGGCAGTGTTCTTATTCTTTCTCCTAAGCAGTTTGATTCTTTTGATCTTGGATCACAATCAGTTGAAAGGCTCTTTGAAACGATCTGAACTGCTCACTAAGCCCCAGAGGTTTTTCCTTCAAATAGATTTTTTTGCCAACTTCATTTGTGGCCTCATGTGGTTGGTTTTTCCAGGATGGCTTCTTGGGTCACAGGTAAAAACGTAACTTTATTGCAACTTTTGTGAACACTTGGACTATCAAGTATAGTAAAAGTAGTCATGTTGTTAACTAAAATGCTTCTAGGTGGCATTGTCCATTAATGCATTGTGTATTCATCCATTGTAGATTACTGGATCTGAGGATTATCTTTATCTCACTCGGGCATTTGGAGCTATGATGGTTGGAGACAGCTTTGTTTCTTTTACCACTCAGAAACAAATGGGAACCAATGAGGTATCTGTCTTCAGCAGCCGGGCTGTGGTATGTCATATTACAACATATTACAACTTTTTAACACTGATTTTGCTCCAACATGATTACATATGATTAACAATCCTTTTGTGTTCAAAAACTGGGTACAACTTCTGTGTTGGGGGTCAAAATGACTTACATTGCTTCCATTCAATTACCAAAAATCAGCACTATGAAAAATACTAAAGAGTCACCTAAAAACACAAGCCTCTATTGTTGCTTGTCAGACACTAAAAAATATAAAATATGTGACAAATGTAATAAGTCTCTTCAATTTTTATGGTGTTATTTCTATTGTGTTAGGGGTATACATTTATTATACAGTATATATTGCATATATAATTTATTTATTGGTCATGATTACATGTAGTGACTGTTTGCACAATCGTTATTATTTGTACTTAATGTAAGTAGTTTGTTGTCTGGTTCTCAAACACTTTTCCTCAATGCTACAACAGTCTAGTAATTGAGATCCCAAATAACTAACCAAAAGCAACCATTGACATTTTTTTGACCATGAAATTCAAATAGATACAAAAAATTATGAATATTTCATAATTTCTCTTGTATTTTATATTTTAGTGTTAAAATATAAGCCCGACTCTTTAGTGTTTATTTTTGGCAAATTGCATGAAACCAATGGGGCTCAAAAGTTGTAACATTTGTACAGCCTTTCCAAAACACTTATATTTGTTACAACTTTGCATGCACATTCATGACCCTAAATGAAAAATATTCACACAATTTCAAGAGGAACTGAATAGTTTAACCAATATTGCAAGCATTTTGAAAATCGAGCGTGGGACAAATAAACCTCAACACAACAGGAGGGTTAAGCATGTATGAATCTGTACCCATTTAGGGAACTTCGGCGGTTGTCATCTTCATGATCCACACCCAGCTCACCACATCGGCATGGAAAACCCCACATCTCTGTTTGGGTCTAGTAGGGGTCAGCCTCTGGGCTGGAAACTCCATCCTGGGCTACCTGAGCTCCAAAGACACGACGACAGAGTCAGTGAATGATATATACTGGCGTGCTGTACAGAAAAAAGACAGAAGACTTTATGTACAATAGATATTTTGTCATATGCATATATATTATAACATCATTGTGTGCATTTCAGTGCTTTATGATGTTTTTGACAAACTATACTGTAAATATAGTTGTTTTATGAATATTAAATAGATGTATTCTTTTGTAAATAATGGTTGTTTTTAATTTATACTCATAAATATTGTAAACAAATTGAAAATATCACTTTCAATATGCAATGTAGATATGCAAATAAAGACAAAGTTGTCTGGTGACTTGAACGGCACTTCATATAAAGTAAAAGTGCTTTGTCAGCTGTCTGTGAACCGCCTCCTTTCACACATTCAGGTGTCGAGTCATTCTCCTGCAATATGCACTGAACCATTTGTTTTATAACTTTGGATGCAACATTTGATGTTCCCACAAACACAAAACTGAAATTATATGAACTGTGCGTCAGAATCTTCTTTTATCTCTCTCTATTTTTGTTATTTAACATCCTGTAGTTATCTAAACTTATTTGTTGCTATTGTTTAGTATTATTTTAAATATGTTCCTCTCAAAATGTTCTTTTATCAAAATTGCCAGAGAACATACATGCGTCAGAATCTTCTTTTATCTCTCTCTATTTTTGTTATTTAACCTCCTGTAGTTATCTAAACTTATTTGTTGCTATTGTTTAGTATTATTTTAAATATGTTCCTCTCAAAATGTTCTTTTATCAAAATTGCCAGAGAACATACACTGTGTTCTTTCTTTCTTTCTTTCTTTCTTTCTTTCTTACCTACCTCTGGCCAAGTGGCTCCATCTTCTACGGTCTCATTCTTGAGTTGATTGTCACTGGCAGCTTTGTAAGTGTTTGGCAGTTGTTTGGTCTCTTTGGCAAGACCTGTGCGAGCAGTAACATTGACCTTAATTGCACTTTATTCCTCCTGCAATGGCCATGATGTTGTCCAACTTAACAAGACCGTGCAAAACCAAATAAATAGCTTTACCGTGCAGCTGAGATCTATTAACACCTCTAACAAACTGCCCAGTGCCTTGCACAAGAACACTGCTTCAAGAGCACAATGTGTTTTAAATATGGCCACTTGATGGCGCTGTATACACGGAGTATATTCAGCCTCTGGTTCTCCTAAAAACATCAAGCTGACAACAGTGCTGGTAAATTTACCATGAACTGCTGTTATTAAAATGCCATTCCTATATTACAGTTGGATAATCAGAACCAAAACTACTTTTTGATGTAGCATAATTATCCTAATAAGCTCTTTATATTAGAAAATTAAGCAGTAAGATGGTTTTAAAGGCTTGGTTTCAGATGGCTGTTAAATACAGTCCCTCTCTTTCTCATACATACTCATAAAGGATTAGTTCACCAAAATATGAAAATTCTATCATCAGTTACTCTCGTTTTGTTCTCGTTTTCCCCCTGTAGAACACAAAAGGGAAAAAATCCTAAAGAATTGAACTGGTTGCTCTTTTCCATGCAATTACAATGAATGACGACTGAAGCTTTCAAGCTTCAAAGTGCACAACGAACCTTAAAAAGTACCATAAAAGTAGTCCATACAAGTCTTCTGAAGCCATACAATAGAAAATGGACCAAAATTAATGTTGATGGAAAGTAGATAAACAAGAAACGATTATAAATTTATTATCGATTTACATGAGGAAACATAATATATTCAGTTTTGCCAGACATTGTACTTGCATTTATTCTGTATTTTTATAATATTTAATATATTTTTATATACTAATATGTACACTAATATATATTGCTATCTTTATTAAATAAAATTATATTTGATCATATATGCTGTATTCATGATCCACCTCTACAGATAAATAAACTTGTTCCCCCCCCCCACAGGACAGCAGGTTCCCACAAATCTATCTTTGTGCAAAAGCTCCAAATTCCTTCCTGATTTGTATTTAAGCGTTTAAGATGGAGCACCCACCCAATTTTCCACTTGCAAAGGATGTTGTAAAGAATTACAACACATTTTCTATTTTACTATTTAGTCAATTTGATCGTTATTGACTTTTTAACAAGACCTATAACAAATCATTCAGGCACCCTGCATCTCATCTCCACTGTTACATGCAGCTAGATCGCTATTTGGTCTTGATTTAAACAGCTTTGCAGGCCTGCCTCCAGATATAGCATGTTAAAGGGGTGGACCTGACAATTGAGGGGTGTGTCATGACTGGATTGCCAGGGGACCTGTGATACAAATAAGAGAAATACCAGCACTTTAAGAGCACTGAGTGACACTTCTGTCTCAATGGGATAATTCAGCTTAATTCACCAACGCAAACCAAAATTCCTTTAAGGATGTGATCCTTGCAGTGTGCCATCACATTTCACATATTTTTAGCACAAGAGAAGCTACATATTTTATATATGGGTCTCACCTACAGCTATACATTTTTTTGCTTGAAAAACTACCGTACAGGATACAGTTCTTAGAAATGTTCAGGTCACGACCCCAACGTTGTGATGCCTGAAGCATCTCCGTTTGATTTAACTCATGGTTTCTTGGATATTCTTCAATAAATCTGTAATGTTTTGTTGTGTAAATTCAGGATGGGAACAGGCAGTCAAGCACAAGCTGTCTGTTTGGACAGTGTGGCCAGTGCACAGCCATAGCAAACCTCTCCATGAGAACAACAAAATGACTTTGGCTGGAGAGTCCAATCTCTATCAGATTAAAGTCTTCACTGTAACTGCTGAGCTCAGAAAGGGAAAGATTCATAAAGTCCAGGCAAAGCTGACGTCAACAAGAAAGAGAAAGAGTAGGCTACAATGTGTTTATTTCAAAGTTGCTTTAACTGACTTTTTACGTTTTATTTAAAGGGATTTATCCACAAACTTCTGTACAAGCCCCCAAAAAATTGTTTTTAGGTGACTACTTGAAAATAGACTTCCAAGTAAAGAATGAATGAATGAATGAAATGCCAGGTAGTGTGGTCTTCATGGAAGCTATACTGCTTGTAGAAGCTATACTACAGTCATGGCCAAAAGTTTTGGCAGTGACATAAATTTTCAAGTTTTGCAAAGTTTGCTGCTTCAGTATTTGTAGATTTTTCCACGTTTCTACATTATACTGAAAAACAATGATAAGCATATAATGTTTTAAAGGCTTTTATTGGCAAAAAAATATAATGAGGTCAATATTTACAGTGTTGACCCTTGTTCTTCTCTTCATAATCTCTGCAATGTGCTCTAGCATGCTGGATATTAGTTCTAGGCCAAATCCTGACTGATGGCGATCCATTCTTGCCTTATTAGTTCTCAGAGTTGATCACAATTCGTGGGCTTCTGCTTGTCCACTCGCCTTTTGAGGACTGACCACAGGTTCTTTATGGGATTGAGATCCGGGGAGTTGCCTGGCCACAGATCTAAAATTTCAATGTAATGATCTTCGAGCCACTTCTTTATCGCTCTTGCTTTGTGACATGGTGCTCCATCACGCTGGAAAATTCACGGATCATCACCAGATTGCTCATGGATTGTTGGAAGAAGTCGCTCTTGCAGGACGTTTTGATACCATTCTTTATTCATGGCAGTGTTTTTGGGCAGAATTATGAGAGAGCCCACTCCCTTGGTTGAAAAGCAACCCCACACATGGATGGTCTCAGGATGCTTCACTGTTGGCACAACACAGGACTCATCGTAGCTTTCACCTTTTCTTCTCTGAACAATCAATTTTCCAGATGTCTACAGTCGGAAGGGAGCTTCATCAGAGAAAATAACTTTGCACCAATCTTCTGCTGTCCAATCCTTGTACTTCCTGCAGAATTTCAGTCTGTCCTTGACATTTTTCTTGGAGAGAAGTGGCTTCTTCTTGTACTTCCTGCAGAATTTCAGTCGGTCCTTGACTGCGTCTGCTTCTTCTTGACACCACGCCGTTGTCCAAAAGTCTTCACCTCACAGTGCGTGCAGATGCTTTCACACCAACCTGCTGCCATTCCTGAGCAAGCTCTGCACTGCTAGTGATACGATCCCGTAGCTGACTCTTCAGGAGGAGACTAGTGATGTTCGATTCTTGAATGAATCGTTCTTTTGAGCCGGTTCTCAGGAAGTAACCGGTTGAGCCGGTTCACAAATCGAACTGAGGCCCTGTCCCAAATGGCACCCTAAACCCTCGTGATCTTCTTCTGAGTCTGCACTTTCATGATGTAATGCCGCTTTGACTGTCAGGTAGAAGTGGGCTCAGCAGGAGTGCGGATCGAACTATTGATCGAGGGCGCATAACGGCCGCAAAGGGGGCACTCGCGAGCACCCTTCTGAATGCTAAAATGACAAATGGGACACCCTACGGTCTCGTGGACTTAATGGACACACGCGCACGGTGGCCATTGTAAGTCCGTAAGACCGCAAGTGCACATGAAGTGTTCTATTTGGGACAGGGCCTGAATCGAACTTTAGTTCCGGGTTGATGACGCAGGACGCACAGCCAAAGTAGCACGTCCGAAAAAGAACCGAATGAGCCGGTTTAACCAACTGTCGAAGTTTGCCGAGGATTACCGAGGACTCAAAAAGAACCAAATGAGCCGGTTTAACCAACTGTCGAAGTTTGCTGAGGATTCTGACGAGTGAGTTGCACTGCTTGTGTATCACCGAGGTCTTGAACGAGCCTGATACCTAAAGTTTCTTTATAACAAACAAAACATAGGCTACTGGAGATATGCTTATGAATCGTTTTATTAAAAAGCCCTGGATTTTTATTAAAACATGGAAAAACCTGAATGTTAGCACAGTTTATTTTGCATGCAGATCATGTTTTAAGTTGTTTAAAGGGGTCATATGATGTTGCTAAAAAGAACATTATTTTGTGTATTTGGTGTAATGAAAGTGTTTATGCGGTTTAAGGTTAAAAAAAATCACACCAAAGAGAAAGGAAAATTTGAAATCGCATCATATGACTCCTTTAAGCAAAATCAAGGAGTTTATAAGACAGGTTTATTCTTTCTTTATATTTTAGACATGTAGAACAATATTCTTTGTAGCAATTTCCTTGCATGTGAGGCCATTTTGATGCAAAGGAATGATGGCTGCACGTGTTTCTTTGGAGGAAACCATTGCTAACAAGAACACAATGAATGGAAGTGCTTCTTCCCTCCTTTTATAGCCATCAGTCTGCTCTTACAATCTAATTAGTATGATGGTGATTTCATCTGACTAGTAGCCTGCTCATTCAGACTTTCACATATGCTGCTGATATGATCAGTCAATTAATGTTAGCTGGCCATTTTGTGTCATGATCAAAAAACAGTGACATTTTTGTGTGTGTGTGTGTGTGTGAAAAGTTCATTTTTGGCCAATGAAGCTTTTAGCAATTATTTAAAATGCATCTGATCACTCTACACAATAATCTAGAAACAATGTGAATGAACGCCA